AGCACACAAAAGTATCTTTCACACAAAAATTATTAATTCCGTACAGATACAATCATCTCTATATAAAATGAATGTGAACACTTATCTCTTATATGGTGATTTCTTATATCAATAGCTATTGACTTGGTAAAAATTCTCTCTCTACGGTAGAAATAATATCTTAAGAGATTTTAGCCAATCTTCGAGCTACTTTAATTGCATAATTCGGGCCAAGTCATGGTCAAACCACACCAAATTCGGGTGCACATCAGGAGCATTTCATGCGGTTGCACAGTGACGGACCACACACGAATAACGCTGAGATGAGTATTAAGACTCATGGTCTCAAAATTTTAAGACATTTAATTACAAAAGGTGTGTTTTAATGAAACGTTTGGGAGGAGTCTAAAATTAAATACTGTTCTCTGGGTTCAAAATCCATGATTGTTCATCTGGGATTACCAAACATGAGGATATTTATGTTTTATAAGACTATTTTGCTTCTTGCTCTTTTGTTTGTTTTGAAGATGCTTGTTTGGGTAGTAACTTACGGGCCAAATGGGCTATTGTAGGGGACTTCAGTGTTCAAGAAGAGGAGTCTTTTTGATGAGTGGAGTTGGAATATAAGGCAAGATTCAATATAAAAAATTGAAAAAAGTTAGTAAATTCTTGTATATGAGTTATCTAACTGTTATACGGATTGATCCGTCATATTTTTATAAGAAAAAATATATACTCTTATTTTTTCAACAGTAGATCTACTTTCTTTAGACTTGTCTGACAGTAATCTTATGGGAGTAAGTTTATCTAAGCTAATAATGTTGTGGTCATTTTTATGTCCAAATAATTAAAGATGCTAAAACCAAATATTAAATATTGGTGTTAAGTGGAAAATAAGTAAAGGAGAAATTATAACTAATCAAGAAATATGATAAGTCACATGACCCATGTTCAATAATGGTCAAAATCAGCCCCAAACATGTGAGTGTGTGCACTTCCAAGTTGCAATTTGCAAACCATTCAAAATAAGAAATAAAGAGTAGACTATATACACATTTATGTTGACTTAATCATCTCTAGATATGATTACAGTTTTGATAATTAAAGAATGCTGATACAAGAACAAATTTCTTCCTCTGTTGTTGACCTTAAATTGACGTGCATTGTGTGATTTTTACATCTAAGTAATATACAGCGCACCATATATATAGAGTTGAGGCCGATATAAGATGAGAGATAAATATATAAATTGGTGGATTTTACATTAATAAGACCTAATTTGGTATAATTTCATTTAGCATACACTTAATTATTATTTGGTGGGTTTTATTTTATTTTTCGAGAGAAAAATTAGTGGAAATTCAGAGTGGCATGCAGCAAAAAAGTTCACCAACAATGTCATGTGCCACAATTTGACGCGGTTTGACTTAAAACTTAGCCTGAAATTTTAATCCCTTTTTGATTACTTTCTTCACAAAAACACGTGTTTTGTCAGGCTAAAGCACAAGCTACAACCAGGAATTGGCAAATCTTCACATTATAACTTGTGGGAAACACTTAATTAAACTTCAAATTCTTATGTCCCAAATTAATCATCATATTTTCTTACGCACAGCCTAACTATGAAGATCAATCTAAAAAAAACCATTTTTCTCATCTCATTTCTACTCTTCCTACATTTGCAAACTTGTTTTGCTATCCATAACTCTCATGGAACCAATTCTCGTGTACTGTTTAGCGATAAAACGCAGTCGAGAAAGTTGCTGATTTCTACGAATTCATTTTCTGTAAATAAAGGTTTGGCCAAGGCAGAGAAAGCAGTGGAAAACGGGCTAAGGAAGATGCCGCCAACTTCTTCAAATCCAAGTCACAACAGATGAAGGTTTTGTGATCACAAAAACCCATGTAAATTTAGGCCATGGAGAGATCAAATGTGTATCTCTTTCCATAATTAATTTTTGCAATATTTATATTTTTGTTTCGTTATTAGGTTTATTAGTTTCCAGGAAAATGATTGTAACAAAGTTTGGCTTCGGGTAGCTCATCTTGTATTAGCTTAATTGAGTATATCACACAAGAATATAATTTTCTTGATTTTCTTTTTTTTTTTTTTCCTCCCATAGTGTTCACAAAATTTGTGTGTGTGTGTGTCAAATCTTCATTATTTTGTGGTGCTTGTCTAATTGCGAGAACATCAACGAGCATAATTGGAGTAATTAAAAGTCCATCTTAGGGCTGCACATTCAGTCGAAACCGAACCCAACAACAGACCGAATTTTCAGTTTGTCCAACCGAAAACCGAACTGAAATCTATGGTTCGGTTCGGTTTCAAACCGAAAATTCTGGCGGTTTATCGGTTATCCGATAAAACGGGGAAATAACAATTTAATATTCACAACCCTGCAGCTCAGAGCCTCAAATCAAAGACATAAATTTAGCCACAAAAAAATCACGAGCTTAAATTTAAATTCACCAAATTTGTTCAATCGAAACAAAATACTCACGAGTTAAAAAAGAAGCGAGCTTCAAAGTCTTACAGAATAAAAAAACACGAACTTGAGGTGTAGCCCGTACGAGGGAATCTGGGTGGCGAACTTATTTGAGATGACGACCGTCGCCGTCGAGTGCCGGGTGGAGTCTGTGCGGGAGCTATCGGAGAGATCTGAGCGGCGGAAGTCCAAAACGTCGAGCGGCGATTAGGAGACACGGAGTTGGAGTGTGTGATTCAATGATTGTCTGCGGTGGACGGGCGGAGACGATGAAATTTTCTTAAATTGGGAGTTGGGAATTTTCTGTCAATTGAGTAGATGAGAGATGAGGTGTATTGTTCGCTGTTCGATCTTCCAATTTAATTATTTAAATCCATTCTAATTTCCAGTATATGGGATTAGGCCTACTCATTATCTATCGTATTATAGTTATTTGATTTCGTTTGTTTGAGTATGTGTTAGTGTTATTTTTGGTCTTTGTATTTTTTGTTTGGGCCATTTAGTATCTACGAGCCTGAGTGTAACATTATTATTTTGTTGGGATCCTATACTTGGGCATTATTTTGTTAGGATCCTTGTAGTTGTTTTAGTTTTGTTTGTGTTAGGTGCTTTCGTATAGTGGCGAGTTTGTCTTGCTAGCAGGCTCTAGGTGATCTTCGGATTTGCCTCTCAGTCTTTTCAGTCTCTGGTTGTACTATTCAGCCTTTGACTGTTTTCTCTTCGCACTTTGTACGATTTTTTATTAATATAATACCTCTATCGTTTCGGAAAAAAAAAAAACATAACATATATTATATATTTATATTGGACTTTTATAATTTATGTATATAATATCGGTTTTCGGTTCGGTTCGGTTAACCGAAAAATTATATCCAAACGGAATCGAAAATCGAAATTTTTAAGAAACTGTAAACCGAAAATCGAACAAAATATTCGGTTTCAATTTCGGTCCAAATCGAATTTTCGGTTTCGGTCGGTTAACCATATTTTGTGCACCCTAGTCCATCTTTCCCCAATTTTGCTTTTCTGCAAAATAGATATAAGCGTAGATAAACTAAATAAAATCTCTCATTTTCTTTTACACTCTCATATTTGTCTGGTCTCTGTCACTTAAAAGGCGACATTTTCCTTTACCAATTTCAAACTTAGTTTTTCCTTTAGCAAACCGAAAAAAAAAAAAAAATCTTGAAATTGACGAGCAAACAACAGATGATCGCCCATTTCGCAGCTTCACGAGCAAAATTACAATCCACGAAGAATCTCATTCCCTAGTCCACTTTTAAGGGTGCTAGCTTTACCAAATTTATCTACAATGAATCTCATTCTTTATTTGAACCAACAAAAGAAAAAAAAAAGGTAAANAACGCCCAAAACCCGGTGTCGTCATTGCACCATCGACAACCATATGTTGCACTACTGCCTATCAAAAAATGGCTAGACTAGGCACTTTTTTTCCTTCATCCATATGTTGGATTAAACCGGAAGCACCACGAAAGGATGTCGGTCTCAAGCTCCGATGACCTGCAATACGTCGTCGGGTAGGGGTCTCAGCGAAAAATCTCCGATGCTCAAGTCGATACTCGCTCGTGAGAATAAACGGGAAAATTGTATGCTTTAGTACGTAAATATGCGTTGTATTTAAAATAGAACATGACCACCCTTATATACTAGGGTGTTTTGATGCCCAAGTAGAATTCTGGTTAAGAAAGAGATACGACCGTATTTATTTTCTTAGCTTAACACGCCTGTTAGGATCCTAGACTCCTCAGCGAGATACACTTTTTCATCCTAAAGATTTCGTCCCCTTCTTACCATATGGTACTCAGAACCTTAGCTCGTAACCATGACCTCGTGACCTACACGTCCTCCAAGTCGTGAGGTCCCCCCTTTATATACCCAAGCTCCCGAGGGAGTTCGTCCTCCGGTCTTCTAACCAAGTCGACCTGTACCTTGAGATGTCTAAGCGAGCTCCTTGACTAGGTCAGACGCTGATACCGGTCTTGAACTCTTTTAGACCGGCCTTACTCGAGCTAACCAACTCAAGCCGGTCCACCAAACTATTCCAGGTGCTATATCATGCATGAGCAATATTGAGACCCTAGCAGGGTTTCTTTTTTATGACATCAAGCCTTGTTGGAGCCAGAGGACCCAAATAGCATAAGGTGTGGCTCGGGGACTAACTTATAATGCAGCACTCAGATCATCCACCGTGACATAAAACCTCAATGTTCTTCACGAAGAGTACTTCAATGCCAAGATATCTGACTTCGGGCTAGCCAAGATTCTTAGGATGGACCCAAGAAATACACGCACCAACATTCGGGGGATCAAGGGGTACGTGGCTCCCGATTGGTTCATGAACACGAAGATCAACGTGAAGATCGATGTCTATAGCTTTGGGGTTTCGGTGTTAGAGATTGTAACGTGTAGAAAGCGCGTGGAGAATATGGATTTTAGGGGGGAATACCAGATCCTAATAGATTGGGTGTGGGACTGCTTTGCGGACGAGAGGTTTGTGTTAGGCTAAAAAAAGAAAAAAAACATTGCTGATGAATGCTGAACTTCAACGAAATTTTAGTAACCCCAATAATTCCACATAAAAGATACAGGACACCTTGTTCTTATTTCAACTTGCACAAACAATTTAAATGTACAAATAAAATGTCAATAAACTTAAATCGAGATGCTATTCGGCACACCTTTCCCCGTCACGCCAGGTTCCGAAAACGGCTTCAGAAGCTCATACGGCACCACACCAGCTCCAGCCCGATTCTTCAGGCCCGTATCCGCATTTCTACCGTCAATAATACCCTCAATCTCCTTCAGCTGCCCATTAAACCGCTCAAAAGCAGCAGCTATCACTTTATCCTCGGCCCAAAACGGCTGGATTTTCTCCCCGATATACTCCTCATCAGGCGAATGAGTAGATAAAACGTCCAAAACCGACATTGCAGAGATCGCCTGAACTTGCGAAGGAAAGCATCTCAACAGAAACTCCTCGGGCCTATCTAGAAACTTCTTCTTTTCTTCCTCTCTCGGGTCTTCAGTGGGCATCTGGATTCGGGCTATGGTGGGCCTGTTGGGAAAGTAGCCCCCATAATCATATTGGCCGAAGTTGACGGCTGCATGGTGGGCTGAGGCTATCCATATGATGGTCGTGAGGATCAAAATCAGGTCTTGAGGAGTTTTTAGCTCGGGCCACCAGGGCTCGTCTTTTTTGTCCGCGTGGCCCTTTGTTCGGATCTCTGTCCACCATGATTGAAGTTCGTTGTCTGATTGGACGAGGTTTGGTTCAGGATAGTAGTGCGTGACGTAATCCATGACCCACTGTTTGATGGCGTCCCATAGAAGCAGACCGTCATTTGCGTAAGGGTAGTCTTCGATTGTTAGCTTCAGGCCATGAGGTGCACTTGGATCCTCCACAGCCATTCCCCTGGCATAGCATTGCATTGCAATTGAAAAAAATAATTTTTGTAGGGGAAAACACACCTTCTAAGAGGGGCACTTGTAAGATAGATAAAAATGTCAAGTCATGTATTATAACACATTAGATTGGCAGTTGTAAATAGCCAAAAAAAAAAAAGTTTTAGGTTTTTAGTTCTTCTTACCCATTTTTAGGGGTTTTTCTTTTCAGTTTTCTAGTTCATTTAGGTTTGCACTAACCATCTTCCTAAGGATTTTAATCATTTCTAACTATTTAGCTTTCCTTTTTTCAGTTCCTCGATTTTAGATATTTCACACTTTATTTTTCTTCCTAGAGTTTCCTATTTTCGGGTAAATGTTTCCTTTTATTTTATTTTAAAATTTAGTTTAAGCGACAGTCCGAACATCAAGACAGGAGTATCCTCAAGCTTTTATATATATAAAAAAACATAATTATCCCCATTAAATAGTTTTACCTATTGATTAAATCTGCTGGTAGTGCCTGTAGATCAAACTGCCATAGCTTGTCATAGACAACAGAGCTCAACTCCATGGAGTACTTGCCCGGGGAGAATGTGGACTCGATTCCACCGTTGCCATTGATAAGGGACTCACGAGCCACAGCATTAATCTCCATCGTGTACCGTAAATGAGGATGCAATAATCTGTAAACAGGGTGCATTGAACTCAGTTGCCTATTTGTTGCGATTACGTACGGCTCTGCTGAACAATGAGTCTGTAACCTGCAAAATACACAAAGGAGATCAAGAATCTCTAAGCATAGTATTTTTACAAGCTTGGGTTTCAGCAGTTTCCATCACTCTGTTGACAATTCTCATGAACAATCAGATGTAAATCTTTTAGAACGACATTTTAGTGTTATAACCAAACAAATAATCATGAATTCAACGACTTCCTTCTCGGCATTTGGAGCAATTGCAAACACGCAAGTGCACATACAAAATATATGACGAACTTTAGTAACACTTTTTAACCTCTCTCTCTCAATCAATCATTTCCAGCTTCAGATGTTATTCAATCAACATTTCCGTTAAGTGTTTCAAAGCGTGAAAAAAAAAAAAGTGTTGATATACAAAATGTATAACTCACCAGTGGCTGACCAATTCATGATAACCAGAGTCGTGTGCTAGGACGTGAGCCTTAGCCAGCCTCCATAACCAGATGTCAGTTGGGTTCCAACATGGCTGGTAAACCTCCTTCCACTGGGGCTTCCCATCAATAGGCGGTCTCGTGAGCTCGATGGCTAGAGGCCTCAATGTGCCCTCGGGCATCAAGAAAAATAGTGTCCTCGATCCATAAAAGGTAGTTCCCTTGATCTCCCTTACCTTGTTCACGTAAGGCAAGAAAACGTCGTGGTAATCTAAAATGAACAGCTTCTTTTGTTTTAATGCCTACCAAATTTAACAAGAAATTGAAAAAAATAAAAAAATTAGATCCAAGAAAATGTTGCATGTAATCATGTCTAGCTACTCATTAATTGGTTGGATTTCACCTCGTCCACAGACATGTAACCACCGATTTCTTTCTCTACCAAGTCTGTTGTGATAGCCGACTCAGCAGGCCCGTAAATCTGAGGGTCGAGATCACTTTTGAGTGGCCATTGCTGTACAAAATTGGCAAATTTAGCATTATGCATCTATATACATGTCTTTTTTCCTAAATTCGAAATATGAAGTACGGATAAGAGCAAAATACTTACACAGAGTATAGTCAACTTATATTCAGAACTCTCTAATATTTTAAAAAAATAAGTGCCCCTATACGTATAACAGGCATCCCTTAACATTTTTATTTTCATAACAAGTACGAGATATTTGAAGAGGAGTTTCTGTACTTAAAAACACTGAGGGACAGATTTTTTTTTTTTTTTATTTCAATCGAACCTATATATTTTTATTTTTTTGGACGAGATTTTGTGTCAGAAAATAAATAAAGTGAAGAATAAAACCAAACTATACATCGACACAAACACATTATGACTCTTAATTAGGAACATACACGATAATTGGACTAAAAGAGTAATAGCCATACCGTAACCAACTTGACGCACAATGGATTGACACCTGCTAGAGTTTGTCTAGCAAATTCAGCATCCATAAACCAAGCAAACTTATCTCCTGCAATAATGATAACAAAATGCTGCTCAACACCAAATATCCAGAAAACTAAATGTCACAAAGGACAAAGAAGTAGTAGAAATTCATGGATTTACTGTCGATCAACTGGGGCGTCTCGAACTGCAGCACACTGTTTTTGGTGTCCTTCACGAACCTGATGAGCCTGGGTATGATATTCCCAAGAAGCCCTGTAGTTGGAATACCGGGAAGCAAAAAACCTTGATTAAATAAATCATCTATGGCGGTGAAATGTGGGAAGCCGAGGTTTTTGTCAATGATGGAAGTCCTCAGTGCTGGCACGAGCGCACGAATCACCGAGGATAGTCTTTTGGCCGATAATGTCGCTTGCTTTATTTCGGAAAATGCTTCGTCTCTAGGCACGTACACGTTAGAGCTCCTTGACTCGGATAATGGATCTAAATTTCAGAATTAAACTAGACATAAGTGAACATTAATTGAGAAGAGCAGTTTTCCTTGCTCTACATAACCTTCTAATCCCTATATGCAATCAGCTATTGAAATTTGGAGAAAACACAATGTAATCCTTTAGAAACTTCACTTCTACGAAAATTGGATCAATATGTACAAAAACACACTGATAAAATCACACCAGGAACAAGAGGGGTTTAGCTCAGCATTTTGACAAACAGTTACCGCGCATGCGTACAATTTTTAATTATATGTAAGCATATATAAATACATTGTTTGTGTATGTGAGTGTGTGTGTGTATCGTTACCTTTATTAGTTCTTGGGCGGCCAGTTCTGCAGCGGCGAGGGTAAGGACGGTCGGGGCCGCCGAGGACGGGGCGAGCCAGGTCATCGCCGGAGTCTGGATCGCCAAGATCGTTGTAGACATCGTAGTCGTAGATCCTATCGGAAGTCTTGCGCTCGCCTTGTCCGTCGCCTCTTAGGACGATGAGTTCTTTCTCTCTGTATCTTTTCAGGCCACCCGGAGTTTGGGACGGCAGGTAAGACTGTAGCAAATCATTGCATTACACATGTGTTTT